TTAAATAATTAAGAAAAACTGATTAAATATTCCACAAAATAATCATAATAATTCCTGATTCTTTTAATTAATTGTTGGCTGTGTGATAATTGCTTCACACGTTGGTATAATTCTTTTATAATTAATTGCAAAATGCTAAGTACATATAATTTTAGTCATGAACAATAGAGAGAGGTATTCATGAATAAACTAATTAGTAGAAATATAAAGGTAAATGATCTCTCTTCATTAAGGAAATAAATTAGAGCGATTGATATAATTTCGTATTTTTTGTATCAATTATACAAACAATATAAATATAATCATAAATCAATTCAGTTCCCGAGGTAAATAATTCCACTGTTCACTGTCCATTATAGGGATAGATAGATAGATAGATAGATAAATTAGAAAATAATAATAATTCAGCTATATTAAATTTTCTTAAGACATCCAAGAAAACAGTAATCCCAAAGTAATTAATATTTTTAACATAAATTAAAAAAAACATTAACTTCTATTCCCTCAAACACTTAACAAAGACGAAATAAATTACCCATAAAACGAACAAACTCTCAAGTGAAATAAAACTCGACATACCTACCCAAAAAATCCTTAAATAAACTCTATTTTCATATATACGGGAAAAATATATACCCCTTCAAGGAGTTACGTAATGTATATGTTTCCCTATAAGGTATATACATTATGAATAGGTCGACTAATTGGGTATATACACTCGAGTGAGGTGTGTGTTTGTATAGGAAGATGTTGAGGAGTATACCTGGGGGGGGGGGTCAGGTGAACGACTGGTAATGTGATGTGAGTTTTATAATGGTGAGAGATTATAAGATGAGGGAGAGAGAGAGACAGTGGAAGAGAGACAATATGGGAGACACAGTAAAGGTGAGATATTAAGACAGACAGACATTCAGACAGACAGACAGACACAAAACTCTGATCTCATCTACAATTCGATTTATACATATAACTCTTATAATAATATCAAGGATAGAATGAAATACTTTACATCAACAAAACCAAAAAAAAATAAATAAATAAAATTAGTTAAAATTAATCTATTTCTTCCCTGAATTTTAAAACTTCCTGAAATATGTAACTTATATAGAACAGAATGGTCGCAGGTATAAGTGGCGCTCAAACTTAATTATACCTGTATAATGATATAATGAGTGGTGAAATATTTAATGATCCATGAAATATAATGTTTGGGGTAAAAATTTTACTTAGCTCAGGTAACATTTGGGTTTGTGAAGAGAGCAAGTTAAGGAGTTAAGAAGTAGAGGGAATAATGTGTTTTTTTACCTAATTTATTCATAGATTCAAGATTAACGTAAGAAATAATAGATATATTCTATATATTAAAATTTTCAAATATTTATCAAATTTGTCGAAAAATATTATTATTTAAATTTTCATCCTATTATTTCTTTACTTTTGTTTCATTGTTTATAAAAAGTCTTCAATCATCCAGTCCATTCATTTTATTGAAGGGTTTTACCACCATCATTCACCAGTTAGAAAGTCTGCCTCTAACTTACTCCACCACACTTAATCCACTTGGCAAATGTTAGTTCACCCAAGCGTTGTTCCACCATCAACAAGACCACCCGATACTCCACTCATTTACTCTCGAGTGCACAGGGGTTGGCGTTCACTCCACCTTCCACTCTAGAGAGGAATCGAACCCGTGTCCACTCACTCGTAAAAAAGAAAGTTCCATCAAGTGAGCCACAGAGAATACTAGACTTTTACAAAAATTCTTGACTCGCGGATATTCGAAAACAAATTTAGTAGAGGTTAAGGTAGATATTGTGAAGTATTGTCCACAGTAGAAGTTTAAAGGAGACATATTGTGAAGTATTGTCCACAGTAGAAGTTTTAAAGAGACATATTGTAAGGTATTGTCCACAAAAGAAGTTTTAAAGGAGACATATTGTGAAGTATTGTCCACAGTAGAAGTTTAAAGGAGACATATTGTGAAGTATTGTCCACAGTAGAAGTTTAAAGGAGACATATTGTAAAGTCCACATATTTTCGTAGATTCAGGGACATTAAATACGAAAAATTTAATTTGTTTTGTTTATATATATATATATATATATATATATATATATATATATATATATATATATATATATATATATATATATATATATTTCATGAAGATCCACAATGAAAACGTGATAGTATCATAAAAACAACGGAGCACCTTAGCTTTCGTCTTTATTCAAGACATCATCAGAGGCAACTCGAAAGCTAAGTGCCCGTTTCTCCCGTGATTTAATCAAGATTATATATATATATATATATATATATATATATATATATATATATATATATATATATATATATATATATATATGCAAGTAAATCACTGTAGGTGTGTTTATCAGCATATATACTGTATGTATATATATATATATATATATATATATATATATATATATATATATATATATATATTATATATATATATATATATATATATATATATATATATATATATATATATATATATATATATATATATATATATATATATATATATACAGTATAATATTTCATAAAATGTAGAAAAATATGAACTTAATCTTTAAACACTAAATTACGTTTTACTAATATTAACACATTTTCTTAAACAAGTTAATTTTTGTTTAGTAATATTTAACAATGATAAACATATAGAGATATGTGAAGTAAATATAACCGCTAAATTAAATACATTTTTCACTGAGATCTTAAAATTTATATGAATAATCGGATTACCTGAAGATTACACACCCCAGCTTATGTTACCTGAGGGTTAGGTTAGGTTATGTTAGGCTGTTGGGTTAGGTTAGGTTAGGTTAGGTCAGGTCAGCGTCTGAATCAGAGAAAAACAAGTTGAGTTTTCAGTGACTTGAGCTAATTATTTCTTATAGAATCTTACGTAACGAACACACACATTCTTTTTCTACCACCGTTGCACAAGTGAGCTACAAAGGCTTCATGTGATCATCAGGAGTGTGAAGCCATTCGTCTCAGCGTTATTTCCTCGACAACGTAAGAACTCTTGTTGTTTTTTATGGTCACTGGTTATGTCACCATAGTTCTTAAGTGAGAGAGAGAGAGAGAGAGAGGCACTATAGTTATGAGTGAGTGTGTGAGAGGCAGTAAAGTAAGTTAGAGAGAGAGAGAGGCAGTAAAATAAGTTAGAGAGAGAGAGGCAGTAAAGTGAGTTAGAGAGAGAGGCAGTAAAGTAAGTTAGAGAGAGAGAGGCAGTAAAGTAAGTTAGAGAGAGAGAGGCAGTAAAGTAAGTTAGAGAGAGTAGTAAAGTAAGTTAGGAGGAGAGAGGCAGCAAAGTGTTAGAGAGGAGAGAGGCAGTAAAGCAGAGAGAGAGGCAGCAAGCAAGTTAGAGAGAGAGGAGAGAAGCAGTAAAGCAAGTTAGAGAGAGAGAGGCAAGAAAATAAGCAGGAGGAGAGGCAGTAAAATAAGTTAGAGAGAGAGAGAGAGGCAGTAAAGTAAGTTAGAGAGAGAGAGGCAGAAAAATAAGTTAGAGAGAGAGGCAGTAAAGTAAGTTAGAGAGAGAGGCAGTAAAGTAAGTTAGAGAGAGAGGCAGTAAAGTAAGTTAGAGAGAGAGAGGCAGTAAAGTAAGATAGAGAGAGAGAGGCAGCAAAGTGAGTTAGAGAGAGAGGCAGGAAAGTAAGTTAGAGAGAGAGGCAGTAAAGTAAGTTAGAGAGAGAGGCAGTAAAGTGAGTTAGAGAGAGAGAGGCAGTAAAGTAAGTGGGTCTTCGTCACCTTACTCAGGGATGAAAGAATCAATGTATTGGAAAAAGTTGGTGAGAAGCAAAGGTCGAGGGAGAGGCCCTTTAGTGCTCACCTCACACACTCAAGTGATCGCCAGTGCGGGAGAAAAAAAAAAGACAAGTGATCCTTCGTCTGGCGTAGTGTATGGAGGTTTATGAGTTATGTGTGAGGGTAGAGAATATATAAAAGACAGGCGATGGTCATTGCTCGCGCTGGTGATGTTTTTTGTTTAGGGTTTGTGTAGAAATACATAATGTCTAGGCGATGTTGATTGCCCGTGCTGATGGTCCTTCTATGTCACCGTCCAAACAGCGTTAACGAGGAGAGCTGGTCTTATGATGGGCATTGGCCTTCAGGAGGGGAAAATTCTATCAGTTTATCAGTTAGGAAAGGCAAATGTCATTAACTCTCTCTCTCTCTCTCTCTCTCTCTCTCTCTCTCTCCTCAGGTGTGTAGGTGTGAGAGCAGCATCACCGTAAGGTATTTTCTCTACTATATGTATTCCTCTAATTAATATTCAGGTGCGTCTTAATGAGGTAACAGGTGACCCCTCCAGGTATTTGCTTACCCCCCTCCCCTCTCTCTCTCTCTCTCTCTCTCTCTCCATTTTCCTATCTGTCTGTCTGTCAGAAGGGCGAGCAGAGACTAAGAGCAATTATGAGTTGGAAAAAAACGCAGGGAAGCAGAACCCAACAAGCAGAGAGCAGATGCAGCAGCAGGCAAGAGCACTTTAAAGTATATCTCTTCAACATAGCTAGTGGGCGGCCGTGTGTGTTGGGGGGAGAGGAGGAGGACTATGAGGCGATCTTTCCTGGCTACACCCCCCACCCCCCCTCAACATGGCTACTAATCTTCCCATCCCCCCCATTAAACGCCCCGTACTCTCACCTTACCTGTTCGAAATACAGGACACTGCCTCATAACAGAAACATTTTACCATGAACTGGCAACTGTGTGAGGTTTTTTTTTTCCTCACTGGGGGGAGAGAGGAGGAGGAGAGGGGGATTACACCTCAAACGGTGGGATTTATTGGCTCTCGGGTTTATGGAATAGGTTCGTTTTGTAGGTCAGAGGATATGTAGGATAGATAGGCGATTATATATGCCATGGTATAGGAGGAAATAATGGGGTGAAATTGGGTAGGTAGCAACTGAACGGGGACCGGCTGAGCGAGAGTTCCCAAGCCAGCTGGGGTTTAGTGTGTAGTCGACCAGCGTTGAGGGAGGAGCGCGTGCTGTGTCGTGTGTGCGCCAAGCCCCCCCTCTCCTCCCCCCTAACTACCAATAACCTTAGCCTAAAGTCTTATAAATATTCGACCGTGGATAATATAAGACTATTACCCATACGATCAGAAATAATAGTGTCGTTTATATTAGTGTTTCTATATATATATATGGAAGAATAAAAAAAATAGAAGGATAATTATGAAATGAAAGATGATAAAACAAGGTAAAAAAAATAATATGGTGTTAAGTGTTGATTTGAAATGATGTACTATACTTAGGTGTTATATACCTATCTCATACCTGTCTCTCACCTGGAGTTAGAAGGGGTGTTGTGTGTGTGTGTGTGTGTTTGGTACTGCAAGGTGTCGATGGCTTCAGAAATGCAGTCAAATGGATTTTAATTTCCGTCTTTCATAACTGGAGGTGTTGAAAGGTGCCTTGCTTTCAACTGATTTCATCTGCTTTCACCTGGGGAAAGTATATTACCTTAACTACTTTAGACTTGATTTAATTAGTAGACAAATAGTTAAGTAGTTCGTCCATAATTAATTATCGAACTACCAATTAGTAGTTTAACATGATACACACTTATATATATACTTGTTTGAATATATACATGGATACATACACATATATAGATGATACATATACATACCAATATATAAATTCATACAAACGAAATAAATATAGCACAGGACTATTTAAAGAAATAATTAATAGTTGATAGTTAAATCACACACACACACACACATACACACACATATACACGCATACACACACATACACACGAACCATTTCACTACTGTTAACTTTTCAATGTTTTCTTGTGGCTAAACCTTGAACACCTGAAGCAGTACCTGAGAGCTGGAGGTGTAGCTTCAGGTCTCAGAAGGTGTGGCGGTGGGAGGACCTGAGGAAGAGCTTGGGGAGAGATGGGCTAGTTCGCGGTATGTGGGCTAGTTCGTGGTATGTGGGCTAGTTCGCGGTATGTGTGCTAGTTCGCGGTTTGTGGGTTAGTTCGCGGTACGTGGGCTAGTTCGCGGTATATGTACTAGTTCGCTGTACAGTACGTGCTAGTTAGAGGTCTATTTGCTACTGTAACCGTGCATTAGTTCCTCGTACGTGCTAGTTCCAGGTATATCCTGGTTCGCGGTATGTGCTAGTTCGCGGTACATCTACTAGCTTACCGGTATATATACTAGCGTGAGAATGTATTGTTCCCGATACCTGTACTGGTCAATAGGATTTCTCTTACCCAGTACTTACTCTACTAATTGGTATCTAAACTAGCATAGGAAATTACCTCACCTATCCGCCCGGTATAAGAAATAATGTAGTAGTTTCTGCTATTTAGACTAGTTACAGGTAATTTTAAGCCGGTACTAGTTTCTTGTGCCCCCAGTAGCTAGTAGCGCCTACACCTGCCATACATATTGCTATTTTTTAGTATCTATGCTAGTTTTTTATACCGCTATTAGCTTGAGAGAATATCGGTACCCGGGTATTTTTTGCTAGTGCTATACTCGTTTATATACTAGTTCCCGGTACTATACTGGTGCATATACTAGTTCCCGGTACTATACTGGTGCATATACTAGTTCCCGGTACTATACTGGTGCATATACTAGTTCCCGGTACTATACTGGTGCATATACTAGTTCCCGGTACTATACTGGTGCATATACTAGTTCCCGGTACTATACTGGTGCATATACTAGTTCCCGGTACTATACTGGTGCATATACTAGTTCCCGGTACTGTACTGACGTGTATACCAGTTTCTACCTGCTATAAAATTTAGCTGTAAAATATTTTTGACGATGTGTGCGTGTGTGTTTGTGTACACGTGATGGTGCGTGTGTGTGTGTTAATGTATGTACGTATGGTGATATGTGACAGAAGGTTCTTGTTAACGTGTGTGTGTGTGTGTGTGTGTGTGTGTGTGTGTGTGTGTGTACAGTATGGTCTTGACCTCGTGTAAACTTTTGTACAAAAAAAAAATCGAGTTATGAAAACTTTGTAAATATTTCTCCTCAGACTAACAACTTACTATTGTTGGAATATACAGATGGACAGACAGACAGACAGACAGACAGACAGACAGATATAGATAAGCAAATAAATATAGATAGATAGAAAAATAGATAAAAAGCTAGATAGATATAGATAGATAAGTAGGTTATTTGATAGATTTATAGAGACGTAAATTGATAAAAAAATAGATAGATAGATAGATAGATAGATAGATAGATATATAGATAGATAGATAGATAGATAGATAGATAGATATAATTCCTTGACCATTATGTTGTACTAGAGGAGATTATAGGCCTTGTTATACCAGCTACTGTCACACACTACCACATAGGCCTCTCAGATTATACCAGCTGACGTGACCTACTAATCGCTAGGCCTATCAGATTATAGGAAGTGACGTCCTATCAATGAGGCCATACGAAATTAGGTTAATATGGCCTATAGCCTATTTTTCCATAAGCCTATCAGATTATAGAAACTTATTTGATTAACCGTGAGATAGTCATTATAGGATTATAGATAATAGCGTATTTGGTGATACATAGGCCTATCAAATCATATCTAATCGGAGCAATTAGTTGATAGGCCTTAGATATACGAGCTAATTATACATAGGCCTATCAGATTATCTTATACGATTAACTATGTATAAGTATATCTATACATTTTATACATACCAGATCGTTGTGTATAGAGCTAAAGGTAAAGCTATAAAAGGAGGAGAAAGTTGAAGCGTTTTGGAAGGTTTTCAAGCCAGCGATTTTGTGGAATTATCATATTTATGGTAATTTAGGAGAGAGAGAGATATAGAGAGAGAGGGGGGGGGAAGAGACATACAGATAGACAGAGAGACAAAGAAAGTGACAAAGAGAGACAGACAGAGAAAGAGAGAGGGAGGTGAGATATAGAAGGAGACAAAGATGCAGAGATAAAAATTATGAAAGAGAGAAAGAGATTGAAAGAGAGATACAAAAAAAGAGAGAAAGACACAGAAAAAGAAAGAGGTAAAGTACACACACACACACACACACACACACACACACACACACACACACACACACACACACACACACGCACACACACACGCACACACACACACACACACACACGCACACACACACACACACACACACACACACGCACACACACACACACTCACACACACACACACACACACACACACACACACACACACACACACACACACACACACACACACACACACACACACACACACACACACACACACACACACGCACACACAACAGTATATATTATAAATGATGGTGAGATGAAAGGAACGTCTCTCTTTGGTCTGACTGCTTGACCGGTATAGCGTACAGCAGCGGGGAAACTGCCACCACAAAACTCTATGCTTCCGGCTCACAGTGGCGGCTTATAGCATATCCTCATTATATCCGGGTTATGACAAATTACATTAGCTGGATTTACTGTACCGAGAACGTGTGGGGTATTAGGTTATTTTTTACTCTAAGATACTAAATTAAGACAATAGCTATATGGTATTTACTTAAGCCACTTACTTAAGCCATTTACTTAAGCCACTTACTTAAGCCACTTACTTAAGCTACTTACTTAATATACTGTGTGGTTCATGGACACACAGCTTGTAAATTGTAAGTTGTATATCCTGTTTTTGTTTTTTTTTTGCATTTGATTTAGTGTATTTGTATTTTTTTGTAATATTTATGGAGTGGAAACAACACACACACAGCCACATACACACACACACACACACACACACACACACACACACACACACACACACACACACACACACACACACACACAGCCACACACACACACACACACACACACACACACACACACACACACACACACACACACACACGTACACGTAAGCAACCTGTGATAATCAGATCATCAATACTGTATTCTCTCTCTCTCCTTCTCTCTCTCTCTCTCTCTCACTCAATATAAACCTTTTTTATTGCATCATCATTCTTTTTTCAACATGTCCTTGATCATCGTTGCAACATCATTATCAACATCTATCTTCATTGTCCTCACGAGTCACTTTGTCTTCATCTTCCACGTCTTTAAGGAAGGAAGTTGTAGTCTGATAGTTTGTCTTCTAAGTTGATAATGATCTAACTTTTTCTAGCCTTAATCTAACCCAAACTTAACCTATTTTAACCTTAAGTTAACGTAATCTAATCTAAACTAAATATAAGGTGTTCTAACTTAACCTATCCCTATTTTAATCTATTTTACTCCTAACCTAACCTATCCTGCCACTAACACCTCTAACCTACCTTACCCCTAATTTAAACCTAACCCTAACCAACCCCTACCCTAACCTAACCTTCCCTGCTCCTAACCTACCCTTAACCTACCCTACCCTCAATCTAACCTAACCAAACCTACCCTACCCTAACCTAACCTAACCAAACCTACCCTAACCTAACCTAACCAAACCTACCCTAACCTAACCCGAATTTCAAAATAACTTAACCTCACCAAAAACATATCTAGTTCTACTCCCAGGTCTTATTATTCATTATTGACCTTATTTTCTCCTTCTAACTCCAAATAGACAATAAAACAAACTGTGATAAATGAGGGACATGGAAGAGAACACAATAATCGCCTTTACTGAGAGAAACTGCTTGGAAAAAATCAGCTTAATTTAATATCTTTGTGAGGTTTATTTTCTGTGTGATGAGGAGGAGTAGGAGGGAGGGGAAGAGGAGAAGGAGGGAGAGGAAGAGGAGGAAGAAGGGGGAGGGAAAGGAAGAGTAAGAATGAGAAAGAAGATAGGAAGGAGGAGGACGGAAGAGGAAGGGATGGGAGAGAGGAGAAGGAGGAAGGGGGACGAGGAGAAGAGAAGGAGGAGGAGGAAGGGGAAAGGAGGAGGATATAGAAGAGAAAGGGAAGAACAAAAAAGAGAAGGAGGAGAAGGAGGAGGGGGAAGAAAAATACGAAGAAGAAGGAAGGAAATGGAAAAAGAAGCCGAATAAAAGAATACGAAGAACCAGAAGGGAACACAAGAGGCGAAAGATGTAAGAAAGGGAGAGAAAAAGAAAATATGAAAACCGAGGTTAAAAGAAATTGGAAGGAGAAGAAGGAAAATTGAAGAGAAGAGGAAGAGAGGGTAATAAATCGAGTATAGGAAACACGTAAAATAAATTGATGAACAGGGAATACGTACAAGATGGAAGAAGATGAAGAAAATGACTGAAGAAGAGGAAGAAGAAGAGGAGGAGGTAAAGATGAAGAAGAGGAGGAGGAAGATGAAGAAGAGGAGGAGGAGGAAGAAGAAGAATAATAACAACAACAACAACAACAACAAGATAAATCAATATGAAGAGAGAGATTATGCTGTGTGTGTGTGTGTGTCTGTGTGTGTGTGTGTGTGTGTGTGTGTGTGTATGTGTGTGTGTGTGTGTTTAGTTATCTCCAGGAATAGCCCAGGAAATATTAGATCCAGGTCGGGATAAACATAAGTATGTACCCACACGAACCTACCGCAAGACGTACACAGACATGAAACTACATGCTTACACACGTACACACCTACATACCTATTCATGTACTCACTTACATACGCATACACATACATGCCTACACACGTACACACCTACATAGCTATACACCTACATACCTACACAGTTACACATCTGGATGCTTACACGCACGCCAATATGTATATTTCTAAATATACATACACATAACACATATACACGCATGCATACAGACACGGATGTACTGAGACACACACACACACACACACACACACACACCAAGGCGGGTACTACTGGGTTGTCTCACTGTGAAAAATGAATAAATTTGTTGAGACGGGAGTTTTAGGTGCATGTATGTGTGTCTCTCTCTCTCTCTCTCTCTCTCTCTCTCTCTCTCTCTCTCTCTCTCTCTCTCTCCACACGCACACAGAGTATACAGTATGTGTGAGTATAAGAGTATACACATAAAGATATACACATAATCATACACCGCCTAATATAATATGCATAAAACTAAATAGGGTAAAATATGAAATGTGTGTTACGGTATAATATATGTAAACGTATGTGTGTTATACCTGAGCTAAAGGTATATGTGGGTGGGGGTATATATGTGTTAATGACTGCGTACCTGTATGTATTTGCATCCATTTATATGTAGAGAGAGAGAGAGAGAAAGAGAGAGAGAGAGCATCGCCCGACTTAGTTATTTTCTCATTTACCAACAGTTAATGGGTCCCAAAGGCTCTCCATTTCCTACCCTCTCTCCCTCCCTTCCTCCCTTCCTTCTCTCCTTCTCTTTCCCCCTTTGTTTCTACCCCCCTTCCCCCTCTTTCACATTCTGGCTCGTTCTGTATTGATACAACTCTCTCTCTCTCATCATATACGTGGAAGTGAGTTTAAAGGTAAAGGCTCAAAGCGTTCGACATCAAGTGCTCTAACACACACAAAAAAACAGACCAACAGACAAACAAACACGAGATCCAAACACACACCTAATTATCCTCAGTCATTGTATAAACGATGACGTAAACAGATTAATTATTACACGGTCATTATATTAACTTATTAGTGACAAAGAAAAATGCTGATCCACACACACACACACACACACACACACACACACACACACACACACACACACACACACACACACACACACAGGATGTAAGATAGACAGACGATCAGACAGATAAACAAATGGACGGACAGGTAATGATACAAACGGCGTTAATGATGATATAGATTACCTTTGTACACCTGTTCCACGAATAGATCTCCCAGCCAATCATAATTCACCTGGTGGTTATAACCAACCAATCAAGATATCTCTCTTAGGGTTGGCGACCACGACCCACCACAACATTGTTCCGAAAATATTAATGGAAAAAAATATTATACTGATAAATATTAATAAAAAAAGGTATTATTAAAAAGGACTTATCGAAGCGGTTCAATAGGTAGGCAGACAATAGATACGTTGATTAAGAGGGTGGAAGCTCTCTCGAGTCTAGCTATCGATTATCTATACTGGAAACGAAAGCAGTTTTTACCAAGATGAAATTAATAATATTTTTTTATATTTTTTTAATCCTTTAAATTATTTCACGGTTATTATTTTAGTTTATGGTGTATTATATATTATTTTATTTACTCATTTACACTTTGTTATTTTTTCATTTCGTTTTATGTATTGTAGATGTGATTTATTTTACACTTTTTATTTTTTCTGATTAAGGATTTTTTTTTTATAAAGTAATCTCGATTTTTATTTTATTACGTCTTTTATTGTATCTCTCTCTCTCTCTCTCTTGTATTCATCGTTGACCAGGTGTGCGGGGAAGAGGGAGAGGAAGAGAAGAGAGTAATCCCCTGTATATATTCACACCCATTTTTAGTGTGTGTTTCCCCCTTTCCGCTTTTATCATTCATTCGTATTTCATTTTCTTCTTTTAGTTATTTTATTTATATTCCCTATCTTTATTAATCGTTTTTTTCTGTCTCACTTTTCCTTTCCTTTATTCTTTATTTTCTTATGTCTTCGTCATTTTCTTTCTTAATGTTTGTGTTTCCCGTCTTTATCAATCCTTCTTTTCTCGTTTGTTATTTCCGTATTTATCAATTAGTCTTTCTTCACTTTCGTAGTTTTACTTTTTGTCGATAATAAGAAACCGATTTTGTGTGTGTGTCGGGAGATGTTGGCAGGGGGGGTTATGTAGGTGTTTGTGCAATATGTGTGTATTGTATGTGTGAGTATGTGTGTACCATCCATGTTGTGTGTCTGTATGCATGTGTGTATGATTTATTTGTGACTAAGTATACTCACTGATATACGTAAATATATGTTTGTATAATACTTGATTTACTTGTATGAACCCGGGCAGGTTAGAGGAGGGAGCATCGGGCCCCAGGAGATGGCAGCACCTCCCGGCCAAAGAGAGACACTTACCTGCTCTCTCTCTCTCTCTCTCTCTCTCTCTCTCTCTCTCTCTCTCTCTCTCTCTCTCTCTCATCCATTTATCATTTGTTTTAATTCTGTTCTTCTTTCATTTATTATTTATGTATTTCATATATTATTCATTGGGTTTTCTTATCATTATTATCTTCTCTCATTCATCATTTATCATCCCTTCCATACATTATTCATCAAGTCTATTATCATTCTTTCTATACACAATTTGTCAAGTTTCTCATTTCCTTTAGAATATTTTGGAATATTTTCAGTGTGTGTGTGTGTGTGTGTGTGTGTGTGTGTGTGTGTGTGTGTGTGTGTGTGTGTGTGTGTGTGTGTGTGTGTGTGTGTGTTTGTGTGTGTGTATGTAATAATTTATTTGTTCCTCGTGTCTTATATTTAATCACAACAGAACTAACTCGCGTTACCTGCATTAATTAGGCTCAGTTTATATATAATTTGTTTGTTATAATTATATTTTGCTTGGGTGAAATATATTATAAGATGTTGATATATATATTTTAATTCATTGTTTTCTCTTGCAGGTAGACAACAGTGATGTCATGAAGGTTTATGCCTAGAAAACAGTGAGTGGTTTTTATTGGGTCATATTCCAGAAAAAATTGTTCAAAGAAACTAAATAAATCAGAAAAAAACAGAAAAAAAATTGAGATATAATTATTAGAAAATATTGAGAAAAACAAACAGAATCTATCTCAAGTGTTTGAAAAAGAAAGAAAAATCGACCTTATGAGTGAATTCTAAATACCTAGAAAATAGAAAACGTTTTAATTTATACATAATTACAATAATTAAACTTTGAAAACATGAAAAAATAATAATTCCCATCAATTAGGGTGAGGTGTAATCATGTCTACCTTATTCAGCCCGAGAAGGTGAGGCTAATGAGGTAGTGTGTGTGTGTGTTTGTGTGTGTGTGTCGTGTTACAACTTACTGCAGGAATAATTAACACACCTGAGTCAATATGTTCTCCACAAGTCAAACCTGAGAACCGTATTAATTGATTCTATAAGCGAACTACGTAACAAGACCCTCCAGCTTCCCTCCTTCTCCTCACCTTCCCTCCATCCATCCCTCCACCCCTCCTTCCCTCCTTCATGGTGGGTCTAACGCAGAAGAAGATGCACCCCTCCACCAGGCTCGCCACCTTCTGCGTCTTCTACCTGCTACTTACTGCTCCAGGTGTTAAAGGTAAGTCGCTAATTGTTGTTGTTTTCTGTGTGTGTTTGTAGGAGGGTATGTGGGAGGGAGTGTTTGGATAGGAGGGTGCGTGTGGAAGGGTGTGTGTGTGTGTATGTATAATTTTATTCGGGAATCTCTGTGTTTCCATAACATTCAATCCCCAACATTTAACCAATATCCAACATTCAACCAAACCCCAACATAATCCTCAACATTTACCTAATCCCCAATGTAATATAATCCTAATCCCCACCATATTTCGCGAATTTAATCTTCTGGATCATATCGCGCGAATGTAATCTTCATTAACGTGAAATTATTAGTAAGTGAAACCGGGCGTAAGAATACCGTAGACTTGAGCGACTAACCCTGTGAAATTTCTGTGAGTGTGAGAGATGATGATGAATGTGTCTCGTTTATAATCGTGGCTAGTGTGTGTGTGTGTATGTGTGTGTGTGTGTGTGTGTGTGTGTGTGTGTGTGTGTGTGTGTGTCTCATTAAGAGGTATTCCCTGCTTGGAACAATTTGGGGCTGAGACACATGTGCTAAAAATCTGTTCTGTAATCTGTAATTGTGTTAATGAAGTGGATTTTTTTTTCGTTTCTAAATCTGTTCGTTGTTTCATTCATTTACGTTTGTTAAAATTTTTCTTGTTAAAAAATCTGTTTGTTTTTTTTCGTTTTAATGTAATTATCTTAGGATTTGTGTGTTAATGAAGAGGATATTCTGTTTAAAACCTAACCTAACCTAACTATCCATCTATCCTAGTTTCTCCACCCATCCAATCTCCATTCATCCATTTAGCCACCCAGCCATCTATCCTATTCTCCCCTCCCCGTGGCCACCCATTCATCCATCCATTTAAACTAGTCTCCTCCCCCTCCCACTGGCCATCCATCCATCCATCCACCCATCCATCCATCCATCCATCCATCCATCCATCCATCCATCCATCCATCCATCCATCCATCCATCCATCCATCCTAGTCTCTCCCCTTCCCCCTGGCCCTCCTACCCTCTTTTGAACCCATTAATATATACCACTATCCCGTTATCCCTAAATATATAACCTAAGTCTCTCATTTTACCTGTGTTCTCATCTTTATTTATCTCTTCCGTATACACACACAGGTTAATGAGGTCAATTACCTATTATATATTAAGGTAAAACCGACCTTGTGTATAGTGATGATAGTGATGTAGTAGATGGTATGGATAGTGATGATGATGGCGGTGGTGATAGTGATGTAGATGGTGTCTTAGATGACCCTTCTGGCTTGTGTTGTCGTGGTTGTGATGTTGAATGTGATGATAGTGATGACATTCTCGCTTGTGTAGTGATTATTGTGACGAAAATGACGATAAACAACCTTCCCTTCTCCTGAAATCAAACCAACAGACACACAATTCCACCATTCAAGACACCACCTCTTCCACCCCCCTTATATGCCAGAGCGGGACATAACAAGTACGCCATCACATTCTAATTACCAGAACATTCACAGCACCGCTATTACAGGAGCACAATCATTCTGAAATAAACTGTGCGGATTTTTTTCTACTCTGTGTGAATGTTAATCAGTTGTCTGTAACACCTACTATTGCCCCGTCACTTTGGAATACATTTGATGATTTATTTTAGTCTTTTATGAATAAATTGATGACTGGTTGTGTTCATGATTGTGAAAAAATTATACGAGAATGAATGATTGTGAAAAATTTACTTCCTTTCGTGAATAAATTGACACTATATAGGATTAATAAACAATATTTTATTTTACGAATAAATTTACTCTTTTTCTTATTATTACTCATAAAAACTTGTCTTTATTTTATTGATTTATTCTTTGATGATGTTGTAATACCTTAGAAAATAATTTAGTATTATACAAATAAATTCAGCTTTTCTATTGACAACTGTAAAAATGATTCTTCCTGTACACCCAACAACAGACCTGTAACACCCAACAACACACCTGTACACCCACAACAACACACCTGTACACTCAACAACACACCTGTACACCCAACAACACACCTGTACACCCAACAACACACCTGTACACCCAACAACACACCTGTACACCCAACATACACACCTGTACACCCAACAACACACCTGTAACACCCAACAACACACCTGTACACCCAACATACACACCTGTACACCCAACATACACACCTGTAACACCCAACCTTCAGAAAAACTCATAATGTCACAGATAAAAATAAACTCAGTCTAACACAACAATATTTTTACCTAAAGTTATTTTTATTTTGTATTAAGATTTGAACTCAACCTTAACATTCTGAAAATAAAATATAAATAAAATTCCTATTCCAGTGTTCAGTTTCATTACACTTCGATCAGGTGTTAAAATTTCGTCCACTTTCGAGCTTGAATGATATATTTATAAATTGAGTCAAGTCTATATTTCAGGAGGGTTTTATTCCCCTGTTGTGTGTGTCAAAAATATTCGTATTTTCTTTTTTTCTTTTTTCGTTTTGTTATGATTGATGTAAGGATTGTAAAGTGAAGTAGTTTGTTTATTATTAATATTAGTGATATTATTATTATTATTTTTTGTTGTTGTTGTTGTCATTGTTGTTATTATTATTATTATTATTACGATTATTATCATAACTATTATTATTATCTATGTTATTTAAAAGCTCGTCATGAAAAACACAGACAAACCAGCTTATAACAACAACTCAAACATCACCTAAAAATAGTCAAAAAAGTTAAAAAATACCAATTTCGTATTTTTAGAAGACTGTCGCATTTAAACAATAACCTTGAGAGTATGGGAACATGACACACACTCTCCCGTATCTCACAGTTGACGGAAAGATTATTTAATTACATTATTATCTCGTCTGATTACCTTTGTTGTCTCTTGTGCTTGTGTCTGTCTGTTCTGGAGAGGTTAGGTGAATTATCTTGACCACTGCGACGAGAGAAAGTGTAGAGTAGAGAGGGAGAGGGAGGGAAGGGAGAAGAGGGAGAGGGAGGAGGTGGACATGGAGGTGGAGGGAGAGGGAGGGAAGGGAGAAGAGAGAGAGGGAGGAGATGGACATGGAGGTGGAGGGAGAGGGAGGGAAGGGAGAAGAGGGAGAGGGAGGAGAATCATGTGGATGAATTAGTGAGGGAGGGAGTGTGTTGGTGTGAGTGGGGGAGATAAAGGGAGAGGGAGTGTGTGTGGGGAAGGTGAAAGTGAGAAAAGGAGCGTCTCTCTCTCTCTCTTCCCTCACTCGAGATAAGTCTTCACTCTCCAGTTCTCTATAATCCAGCAAACATGGTTCGCTAATCAACGTCTACACGCCTAATTCAGCTGCGATTAGACGCTGCGATTAGCTGTAATTACCTAGTTAAGGTGTCAACGATCATTAACGAGGCAAAAGGTGATTAGTTCTTTCATCCCAAGTGACTCTAATCGCAGTCCAGAGAGGAATATTTTGTGATGTTATTTTTAAGGTTAGGTTAGGTTAGGATAGGTTAGGCTTGGTTAGGTTAGGTTAGGATAGGTTAGGTTAGGCTTGGTAAGGTTTGGTTAGGTTAGGTTAGGCTTGGTTAGGTAAGGTAAGGTTAGGTAAGGTTAGGTTAGGTTAGGTTAGGTTAGGTAAGGTAAGGTTAGGTTAGGTTAGGTTAGGATAGGTTAGGTTAGGTTAGGTTAGGATAGGTTAGGTTAGGTTAGGTTAGGTTAGGTTAGGTTAGGTAAGGTAAGATGCATTTTGGTCTGGTCAGTGTGAACTAAAGGTCAACATTCACCCTTGAGCTTCACGTGAGAACAACACAGACTCAGTCAATCACCCATACTCACTCACTCACTCATACACTCACTCACAATACTCACTCACTCACTCACACACTCACTCACAATACTCACTCACTCACTCACACACACACTCACTCCCACGCACTCACTTCTACACACATCATTCAACAAATGCTCTGGTCCTTAAAATTCCTCAAGTATAAGAGAGAGAGAGAGAGAGAGAGAGAGAGAGAGAGAGAGAGAGAGAGAGAGAGAGAGAGAGAGAGAGAGAGAGAGAGAGAGAGAGAGAGAGAGAGAGAGAGGAGAGAGAGAGAGAGAGAGAGAGAGAGAGAGAGAGAGAGAGAGAGAGAGAGAGAGGCTCATAACTTCCACACACACATAAACTCATTTGCATATTCAAAACATATATACAGCTCAACTAAGATACTCCGGCATAACACAGCTTAAGTACCTTCAAGTTAATCCCTTGTGTAATCTGGAGAACAAAATTAACTAAACAAACCTAAATAACCTCCTAGTTAATCTAATCAAAACACGTAATCAATTAAATACAACCAAACAAGTTTTTAGTTGATTTAAAGACAAAACAAGTCCATGATTTATTTAATACAAGAAATATGTTTATAATTAATCTAAGATAATTAAAATATGTTGATGTGAGTGGGGGGAGGGGTGGGGTGGGGTGGGGAGGGGTGGGTGGGAGGGGGAGGGGTGGGTGGGAGAGGGGGGAGGGGGGTGGGAGAGGGGGGAGGGGTGAGGTGGGTGGGGGAGGGGTGGGTGTGGGGAGAGGGGAGGGGTGAGGGTGGGGGGAGGGGTGGAGGGAGAGGGGGGAGGAGGATGGAGGAGGGGATGAGGGGTAGGGTGTTGGGGAGGGGAGGGTGGGTGGTGGAGAGGGGAGGGGGGGTGTGGAGGGGGAGACATGATCAGAGAGAGAAGAGGGATAGGAGGGTGAGGGGTAAAGAGGGAGAGAAACATCAGAGGAGAATATAAACATAGAGGGAGAGGTCAAAGAGAAAGGGAGAAGGAGATATGGGTCAGAGGGGGAGAGGAGAGGGGAGGGACGTAAAAGGCCAAAGAAGAGGGGAAGGGAGAGGAGAGAAGGAAGGGAGGAAAGATAAGGTTTAGAGAAAATAGGAGGGGTGAGGAGAGAAAGAGAGTGAGGGGAAGGAGGAGAGTGAGGGGAGAACTAGAGTGAGGAAAGGAAGAGGAAGGGAAGACAGAGAGTGAGGG